GGCCGGCGCGGGGGCCAGCGGACAGCGGCGGGGAGGGAAGAGGGCGAAGGCGAAGCGCGGAGAGCGCGCGAGGCCGGCAGGAGAGCCGGCACCCAGAAAGGGGGGGGCGACAGGGTCGCGAACGCGGGCGGACGAAGAGGCGACTAACGGTCGCAAATACTTAAGCAGCGCTCGCAGAGTGAGAGAGGGGGGGCCCAGAGCGCAGGCTGGCAGGAGGGCCGGCGCCGAAAGAGGGAGCGACAAGGGTCGCGAGCATGGAGGGGCGCAGAGGCGAGTAATGGTCGCATGTAGTGGCAAAGAGTGGCCGAGGAAACGACTAACGGTCGCATGCACTGGTGTAAGCGGCGCGCGAGGGGCAAGGAGCCCACGGGGAAGGCCCCCAGGAGGGCCCGGAGAGGGGCCCCGGGGAGGGGGCCGCGCACCCTGCGCGGAGCGTGCCAGAGCCGCCGCGCCGCAGCTCCTAGGCGCGAACCCGGGGCGAGGCAAGAGCGGCGGCCACTCGAGGCCCCGCAGCTCAGGACCTGAGAGCGGGAGAGGGGTCTGCAGCGACGGCGCCCAGGCCCCCGGGGTGCCCCAGGGGGCGCGGCAGCGGGGGCGCGCGCCCTTGGGTGGGCGAGCCGCGGCGCCAGCTGCCAAGAGGCGGCGCGTGGACCCCAGACAGAAGGGCCGGACGCCGAGAGTGCGCAGTGGCGGTGAGGGCACCGGCCCAAGCGGAGGGAGCTCACCGATGCTCCCAGGGTCGGCGGCTGCTCGAGGCGCGGCCGGAGGCGCCCTCGTCTCGGTGCCAGGACGCACCAGTTGCACGGTGGGCCTTCCCCTTGCCCTTGCGCGGGCCAGCCCTGCCCTTCCCCCGAGTGGCAGACCTCTCGCAGATGACCGTCCAGTTGACTCGGAGGCGATGGGCCCTGCCCATGGCCAGGGGCGAGGGGCCCGCCTGCAATGCCGAGCAGCCCTACGCCATGATTCCGAGCAAGGCCCGAGAGTACGTCAAGTGGTGCAACGAGACCTCCATCGCCAATGGTCTGACCGGCGGCGCGGCGCCGGCGGGGGCGGGGGCGTCCTCGGGTGCCTCAGCGGGGGAGGTGTCGGAGACGGACTCGGTGGATTCCTCCTGGTCGGCGCCGCCGCCTACGGGGGCGCCCATGGTTGCGCAGACCCTGCGATCAGGGGCCCACCAAGCACTTGGCTCAGGTGGGGCCCGCTGGGGGCCATCCAGGCGGGCCGCCGGCGCCGCTCCCGCGCGGGCGGGTCTTGGCGGGAAGGGGGGGGCCCGCGAAACGAAGCCAGTTCCGCAGTGCTGGAGTGGCTGGGGCGGCACCCAGCTTGCCGCACAAGCGCAGTCCTTGGCCAACTCACGGAGGGACCCTTCGGAGAGCAAGTCGGGATTCACCTGGCTGAGAAATTCATGGAGCGGGGAGTTCCCGCGAGCTGGATCCGCAGCGCCGATGCGTTCGACCCAGCGGTGGCGCATCTGCCTGCCCAGGGAGTCGACGCAGAGGCGGGCCGCGATGCGCGCAGCGGTTAGCCTCTTCTTGCCGTTCCAAGTAAACTCGATAGGGCAGTAGTCCTCGGGGACCTCATCGCCGTAGACCTGTTTCAGGAAGGGGGTGAGCTGCTTCGCCCCCCAATTGCCATGGGAAACGGCGCGAATATCTCCGCCATAAGTTTGCCTCTCTCAGCTTCGGCGCTCACCTCCTCGTCCGCAAAGAACCCCTGGGATTCGTTGTGACGCGCCCGTTACTGCGATTCTGCGAGCTCGACGTCTCGGGGTCTCCAAGGCTCGGACGCGCGCCGCCGCGTGTCGCGCCCAAACCTCTGTCGAGCAGAGCAAGCGCGCATTCTCCCCAACACGTCGGCAAGGTTTGCATCGGCATGGCCCTCGACGCGGCGGGGGCGACTGCGGGCGCGACCAACGCAAGCAGTAGCCCGCGACTCGAACCTACACATCATCCGTCGCCGCTGTCGCTCACCGCGGGCAAGACCATGGACCCCGCGTCGGCGTCGAAAGCTGCCTTGAAGCCCGCGAAGTAGAGAATTGCCGAGCGTCTACCCCGTTTGCAACACGGAAGAAGAGTCGATGCAATATGGAGAAGCCGCCCGGGACCTCTGCCTGTTCTGCGCCCGCACTGGGCGCCCCTCGACAGGGCGCCCGTGCAGTTCGCCAGTTGGTCCCGCAGTAGGCGGCACTAGCATTGGTGATGTTGCGGGCGGGGAGGATCGATTTGCAACTGATTAGTTGCGCTGGCGAACCTGATCCTTTGACAAGCGCGAAGGTCAGCCCGTGCTTCCACGCCAGCGGCCGCTGCTGAGGGACCGCCACATTCACGACTAGCAGCCCGCATCATAGCGCCCAGCCAGCGCCGACGGAGAACGCGAGAGAAGGCTCCCCGAGATCACACCACAGCTGGCAGCCTTCCTCTGGGGTGGGCCTTCTGAAAAGACAAGCTACAACGCGGGGAAGAGGCATGAGGTTGGGATCAAGCCTAACTTGATTAACGTTGTGGTGCAGCCTGTCGTTACCTGCCTGTGCAAATTGATCCAGATCCGACCGCTCAACATCCTCCGTCACGGCGAGATGTTATATGATACCGCTGTAAGCTTGGCTTCCAAGGCAAACGATTCAACCAGCTTGCTGCTCGGGCCCACGAATTGCTGATGCCTTGCCTCGCGCCCCGCCCTGCCCCCATACCTCAGAATAGCTCGTAGCACTCGTCACTGCCCGTGCGCATCGCATATGCCCGCCATGGCCTGCATCTCCTTGCCCAGTTTCTCAAGGTGGGCAGCCCGAACGTCTCGAACACACCTCTGCACAGTCTTGATGGTATTCCGCACGAAGCACTGTACTTGCCAACCAAAAACTCGCCCGCGATGGTAACCCCCTTCAGCTGGGCTTAACATGCCAATCTAAGTTGGCCCACATGCTGATGCCACAGGCGTCGATACTGGGATGAAAAAAAGGTCGCACAGGTGCTGCAACAGTTGGCCCCGTTGTGGGCACGATGCCGCATAGGACTTGGTCCACCTTGCTGCCTTCAAAAACGTACCTCCGCGATCTGACAAGTTGCATGGTCACCGTATTGAAACATCCTCTCGTAAATGCGAGCCTGTCCGCCGCAAAACCGCAATCGTAGCCTCTGCTGGGACGGTACTGTAAGATTGGTAAGCGCTGTCTTGAAGTAGGCATAGACGGGGAGGTAGTCGTCCCGCCCAGCATTGGTATCAAAATGCTAGTCAACTTCGACCTCTGGGTGCAAGCTGTCGTACAGGCTCTTCCTCCTTTTCTTCCTCCAGCTCCTCCATTCCTTTGCCTTGTAAACAAATCCTCACTGACGCACCGCGAACCCAGTCGGAAGGGTAAGCCAGGCGTTTCGCCTGAGACTCCTCATCACTTCTGATCCTGAAGCTTAGAAATTGGCAACAGCCTCACAGAAGGAGCACGGGCCGTTTACAGAAGGTAGCTTCAAAGATTGGCGGCGGGTGGTGTTTAAAATGAAGCTTCCACTTTAGCACCGCGCACATTCTGTATAAAAATACAAGCTTCACGGATTGAGCGCGGCTCCTTTTCAAAATGTGGATCTCGCCACAGCTCCGTACACTTTCGTATTATAGATTTGCCAGAGCTCCACAAGCTCCCATGGTTAATTGCTCAGAAATGGCGCTTCGGAACGATTCAGGATTGCCAGGGCGCAACAGTCACTTTGATTCGCGGTGATGAAGTACCCGGACTGCTGTTCTGGCACAGTTCAGGATCGTCCAGGCACAACAATCAAGTTGATGCGTGGCGTCCGAGTCCAGGGAATTGTGGTTTGGCACCCTTCAGGATCTTCGGATCCTGAAACGCTTGACTCCCAACGGGGCGCAGTCCTGCGGAAATGAATCCTTATAGGGGTCTGCGGAGAGGAAGCTTGGAAGGCGGGTATATTCAACATCGTTGATGGGTCTTGGGTTTGCACTGGTCCTTCTCCTCCTCCTCCTCCTCCTCCTCCTCCTCCTCCTCCTCCCCTTCTTCTTCCTCCTCCTCCTCCTGCTCATCCTCCTCCTCCTCCTCCTCCTCCTCCTCCTCCTCCTCCTCCTGCCCCCCCTCGGAAAGGCTCTCATCCTCCTCCTCCTCCTCCTCCTCCTCCCTCTCCTCCTCCTCCTCCCCCTCCTCTTCCTCCGCCTCCTTCTCTTCACCCTCAAAACGGCCCTCCACCGCCTCCTCCTCCTCATCCTCCTGTTCTTCTTATTCGTCTCATTATTATTAGTATTATTATTATCATTATTATCAGTATTATCATTATCATTATTAATAGTATTACTATTATTATTAGTATTTTTACTATTATTATTAAGAATAATACAATTAGTATTACTATTATTATTGTTATTGTTATTATTAGTATTATGATTATTATTATTATTAATATTATTATTATTGTTGTTATTATTATTAATGATATTATTCTGATTATTAGTAGTCTTAAGAAGCAATTAAGAAACCCCCCGGGGTTATCATTAGCACCGCGCCGTAATTAAATAATTATTTGGGGGGGGTTCGCCGAGCGATATTATTAGCACCGCGCAAATGGAAGGAAAATAAATAATTCCAGCGCCCCGCCTCGGGTGGCATCCCAATTAGAATTGTAATGAGAATAAGAATACGAATACGAATAAGGAAACCCGTGGGACCTGCGACACCCGTGGGACCTGTGGGACCTCACACGGGAACCACTTTGAAACTTGTGGGACCTGCGAGACCTGCGGGACTCCGTGGGAGCCGTGCGATCTGGTGTACCCCCTCCTGGTGCCAGGATAACGCTTCCGGGTGCCGGGTGCGTTATCCTTTCACCGGAGAGGGGGGGGGTTCCTTAATCGCTTACTCGGGTTATTAGTATTAATATTATTATTATTATTATTACTATTAGTAATATAAGTATCATCATTATCATTATTATTATGATTATTATTATGATTATTATTATCAGTAGTACCATTATTATTAATATTAGTATTGTTATTGATAGTATTATTATTATTCGCATTCTTATTCCTATTATTAGTAGTATTATTATTCTTATTATTATTATTAGTAGCAGTATTAACATTGTTATTATTGTTATTACTACTCTTCTCCTTCTTATTTTTATTCTTATTATTCATATGTTTATTATTATTCTTATTCTTATTATTATGATTATTCCTCCTCCTCCTCTTCGTCCTCCTCCTCCTGCTCCTCCTCCTCCTCGTCCTCCTCCTCCTTCTCCTCCTCGTCCTCCTCCTCCTCCTCCTCCTACTTCTGCTCCTCCTCCTCTTCTTCCTCCTCCTCCTCATCCTTCTGTTCTTCAGAAAGGCTTTCCTGCTCCTCATCATCATCATCATCATCATCATCATCAGCAGCATCATCATCATCATCATCATCATCATCATCGTCATCATCATCATCATCATCATCATCATCATCATCATCATCATCATCATCATCATCATCATCGTCATCGTTTTCCTCCTCCTCCTCCTCCGCCTCCTCCTCCTCCTCCTCCTCCTCCTCCCCCTTTTCATGTCTTTCCTTATAAATCACTTTCCCCCGTTGAACCCCGAGGCCGGTCGAAAGGGCGGGCCGGGCGTTTCGCCTGAGACATCCTCACCACGTATGACCCTAACGCTTAAAAATTGGCAACGTCTTCACAGATGAAGGGAGGATCGTTTTCAAAATGGGGCTCTCGCCCTGGCGCCGCATTTGCAGAAGCTTCACGGATGGAGGGCGGGTCATTCTCAAAATGTGGGTCTCACCTCAGCGCCGGGAGCAATCGTTTTAAAAAGGTGCAAGAGCTTCACAGATGGAGGGCGAGTCGTTTTCGAAATATGGTCCTCGCCTCAGCACCACGATAGTTTTGTTTTTACGAAGAAGAAGAAAAACAACAAGAATAACAATAAGACGGTGTTTAAGAAGACAAAACGCAACCGCTCCATAGATTGAGGGCGGGTGGTTTTCAAAATGTGGTTCGCGCCTTAGCGTCGCGCACATTCGATATAAATATGTTGCCAGGGCTTCACGGATTGACGGTGGGGGGTTTTCAAAGTGTGGCTCTCGCCTGAGCGCCGCGCACATTCGTTGAAAAATTCGTACGGCAGGTTCGCGTCGTGTAGACCCCGGCGTTGGTTTCTGACACCGCGTGGATCGTCCAACCTTGAACGATCGGCGGCTTTTCGATCGCCCGATCGTTCCATATAGGCCGATTCTGGGCCACTGGCGGCGTTCAACCTTGAACGCCCGCGGCGGGGTCGCCGATGGTCGACACGACGCAAACCTACCGAAAATGCTTTACGGATTGCGGGGTTCCTTTTTTGAAAATGTGGTTCTCGCCTGATCGCCGCGCACATTCGCTGCAACAAAAAAAGAAACTAACTTTACGGGTTGAGGGCGGTTCCATTTCAAAATCTGGCTATCGCCTTCGCGCCGCGCACACTCCTTTTTCAAGATTCCAAGAGTTTCACGGATTCCCCTGGTCAAAGTACCAGGAATGGCGTTCTGGAAAGATTCAAGATTCTGAGGGTGCAACAGTTAGTTTGATTCGCGGCGCTGAAGTCCCCAGAGTGGTGCCCTGGCACGATTCAGGATCGGCCAAACGCAACAGTCAGGTCGATCCGTGGCGTTGGAGTCCCGAGAATAATGCTGCGGCACGCTTCAGGCACTTCAAACAGTTGTCTTCGAACGAGGCAGTTCCCTCAGTGGAAATGAACCCTTGCAGGGGCCTTTGCAGAGGGAGCTTGGAGGGGCGGACTATTCAAACATCGTTGATGAATCTTGGGTTTACACTAGCCCTCCTCCTCCTCCTCCTCCTCCTCCTCCTCCTCCTCCTCCTCCTCCTACTCCTTCTCATCCTTCTGATCCAATCCTCCACCTCTTCCAACTTTTGTTACGTTGAGCGGACCTCCATCGGCATGGATTGCAGCGTCGGGATGATAAAACAACGCTGGCAAATGGAAGCCGAGTTAGGCACAGTGGCCAACACCTCAAACTGCAAAGAAGTGTAGGATAAAGCAATACGATGAGAACTGCGAAAGGAGGTGCCCGCGAGGGCGCACAGCACCTGCGTTTGCAGCCTGTGGCGGAGAGGAAGAACAAAACCGCCTCCTCCAGTTCGATGCCCGATGCTGAAGGCAAGCTCACTGGTGCCAGCCAGTGCCGGTCCCCGCGGAAGGGACGGTTCTGAGAATGGGCCCCGCTAGCCAAAAGGGGCGGGGGCTACCCCAGGAGGCGAGGGAGACCGGCCAGAAAGGGGAAGACACGATGGGGGGGCAACAGGAGGACAGAGAGGGATGAGAGGATGAGGAAGCGGGAGGAGCCGCAAGCACGACCTCCTCCAGTTCCTCCTCCTCCTCCTCCTCCTCCTCCTCTTCCTCCTCTCCTCCTCCTCCTCCTCCTCCCGCCTCCTCCCGCCTCCCCCCGCCTCCGCCCCTCCTCCTCCTCTTCCTCCTCCTCCTCTCATCCTCCTCCTCCTCCTCCTCCTCCTCCTCCTCCTCCTCCTCCTCCTCCTCCTCTTCCTCTTCCTCCTCCTCACAAAAGGGTTTTCCGCTACGACTGACATAGAAAACGCCACACATTGTGAGTGGGTGTTAAGCGAGAGCGCCGTTAAAACTTGAACCGCCCTCCATCCGTGCAGCTGCTGCAACGTGCAGGCTTTCGAATCCTGGCGTGCGAGCATCTCGCAAGCGAGAGCGTGACTCCTCTTTCCCCAATCAGAGCTTGCCCGGAGGTGCCCGGGGGTGCCCGGGTACCCTATAGCCATATAGCCTTATAGCCTTATAGTTCTACAGCCCAATAGCCCAATAGCCCAATAGCCCAATAGCCCAATAGCCCATCTAGCCCATATAGCATTATAGCCAAATAGCCCATATAGCCCTATAGCCCTATAGCCCTATAGCTTTATGGCCCTATGGCCCTAGAGCCCTAGAGCCCTAAAGCCCTATAGCTCTAGAGCCCTGTATCCCTATAGCCCTATAGCACTATAGCCCTGTAGCCCTATAATCCTATAGCCCTATAGTCCTCTAGCCCCTATAGCCCAGTAGCCCAATAGCCCTATAGCACTATACCCCTATAGCCATATAGCCCATATAGCCCTATAGTCCCATAGCCCTACAGCCCTATAGTCCTATAGCCGCATAGCCCCAACCAAAAATCTGATTGGGTTTTTCTCCGGCATCATTTTTACATTGGGGGGGGAACAAAACAATCAACAAAGACAGGAAATACAAAAAATATAAAACGGTGGTATTGAAACAAAAAATCGTCAGCGTGCGGACCGGGAACTCTTAAGCGCCAGGGCAACACATTACCAGGAAACCCTGAAGGGAGGGATCGGCTTTGAACGCGACCGCCCGCGACCGCCCTCGGTCCGTGAAATGGAATGGAACGTGAGGCACTGACTGAGCTAGCAGGGGACACGGTCAGGAACTGTTGCATTGCTCGTCGCGGGGACGGTCCTGGCGACACGCTGTGCCTTGCGAGCGGATAGCGTGCCGTTCCGCTCCGCGAGACGGGAGGCTGGACAAAGTTCGGGCCTCCGACGCGCGGAAGTGCGGACGTGGACAGCCTGTCGCGCCGAAGCGCGGCGGGCCTGAAGTGGCGGCGTGGCGCGCGCGCCCATCCAGCGGCGGAGCGCCCGTCGAAGACGCCGCAGGCGCACACAGACTGATCCAGCAGGTGCGTGTCCTCAAAGTGGCCTCGGGACGGAGCGAGGGAGGAAGGGAGGGGCCAGGAGGCCCCCCTCTTCCTCCCAATGTCCTCCTCGTGCCCATGAGATTCCTCCTCTCTTGTTTCCTCCTCCTCCTCCTCCTCCTCCTCCTCCTCCTCCTCCTCCTCCTCCTCCTCCTCCTCCTCCTCCTCCTCCTCCTCTCCTCATCGTCCTCCTCGTCCTTCTCCTCCTCCTCATCCTCCTCCTCCTCCTCCTCCTCCTTGTCATCCTCCCCTTCCCCCGTTTTTCCCTCCTCGGTCGGTCGGTCGAGAAAGGCTGCCTGGAAAGTCCGTACCCTAACGCAGCAAGGATCGGCATGTACATGTAAAGATGGGAAGAGAACTCAGTGCGTCAATGGGGTCACGCCTCCGCTGTGGCGGCCAGCCTGAGAACCCCCTGCATCCTCGGCGAAAGGGGTCGAGCAATTCCCACGCAAACCCCGCGGGCAGCGGCCCTTCTTGGGCCACCTCGTGCCCCGGGTACGGGGATCATACAGGCAAGACAGGGCGCGGTACAGCAGTCAACGGTGGCGCTGTCACTGTTCCTGCACAGCGATCGCTCCAAAACTGGCATGGCACAACAGACGGTTGGCTGTCTCAGACCTGCTCAGTTGCATCCTGTCCACAAGTGGCCTGGTGGCAAGGGATCTGGTGGCTCTGTGTGTGTGAACTCGAGTTGGCTCGATGGAGCATGGTATTCCTCGGTCGGCAACTGGCTGCTGCTACAAGAAGCGTGATGGCTCTCATCTGCTGATTCTCGTGGTCGGGGAGGCTCCATTCAGTCACCGTCACAGCACCACTACCCCGTGACTGCTCTCCCTGGCCTCGGATCTGTGGCTGGCGACCTGGCTCCCCCGAACACCCTCCACCAACAGAAAGTATATGGCGTTCCTGGACCCACCTGATCCAATTCTGGAGTTTCTTTGGGTCCCGAAAGGCTTCCCAGTCTACCGTGACTATCGGGCGGAGTTCACGATCACACGTCAAACGCATCCGTTCTTCAAAATCATCGGAACAACTTCCCTGTCGTTTGACCCAGCAGCTGACCTCGATAAGGTTGTGGGGAGGGTGCGCCAGGTTGCACGCCGGGGTTTGGGGGGCACAACGTTCGGATGCCCTCCTCTTAGATGCAAGACCTCTAATGAGGTGAGCTCGACAGCGGGGATGGGCGGCGGAAGAGGCAGAGGCGGGGGGGGGTCACAACAAAACGACGGGCCATAAGTGCGCACGGGAGCGAGTGTACCATTGACCTCTCTCCCTATAGCTCGATTGCGCGTCTCGGTGTCTCTGGTTTCTTGCCTGCTGGCCCTCAGCTCCGCATACGAGATAATGTTTCCTGCTCCCCACCATCGTCTACGACAGCGCTGGACTCTGACAAGTGCGCCACACGTCTATTGATGTTATGAAAATCCAGACAGCAGCTCTTTTATACGTATATACACCACAGTAAAGATCTCAGGTTGGTGATGGTTCTTGTGAAACCTCCCTATGTGGGCAAGGAGCCTTTTTTCTATGCGGAGTGTGGAAGCCGCACTCACAGCAAATATAATGAGTTAAAGTCGGTTGCTGCTCACTTTCCTGAACATGCTCTCCTAACTGTGGGGTGAGGCGCTCAAACTGAATGAGAAATCTACGCTGTTTTCTCTGACCTCTGCCTTGTCCTAGTAAGCGCATGACAGAACGCTGAAGCAGCCCTAGGAAACACCCTTTGCTCTATTTCGTTCGTTGCACCCAGCCGGCGAGCCCCCCCTCTTTCGGAATTTCGGTTATGGAAGCAAGCCCGTTGACCCACCGGGAGGTCTTCCTGGACGGGCGTGGGCGAACCTTTCTGGACATCCCATTGAAAACCCATCCTTGAAGCAAATGTTGAGATCCCCCTGTCACCAATCCAATGAGATACCTTAACCTCGCAATCATCAAGACGCGTTCAACTGAGATCCTCTGGGCTAGGATAAGCACACAATCATGCGTCCGATGTTACTCCTCATTGTTGACCAACGCGAATCCTAAGGCAGCCTTATGTCTTGTTGACTTCGGTGGTGTCCAACGTGTTCAGAGCTCTGCTGCTGAATTAATTCCAGACGGCGGTAGTGTGCATAATTCCAGACATGGCATACGCTTCAGCGCATCGAATCGTAAGGTCACTAGCTAGTGCTCTCCTGGATCCTGAAAGCCTCTGGGCGTGACGAAGTTCACCCTGTGCTTTGGCAGCTCTGTGCTACGACGTGCGTCATCTCACCGCAGTCTGTGACAAGTCTAGCTAGAAACTCGAACACCCTCTTGATAGCAACTTTGGTATCATGACTGTCTACCTGCAGATGTGCCAGAAGCCTGCTCCACAGTTCTCTGCGCAGAGCCCGACTCCCTTCTCCTACTGGACAAAAACACGCAGTGTCCTTTCCTATGATGAATTGCAACCCCTATGTTCTTACCGTTCCTACTATAATCTTAATCGTCCTCACCGCGGCATCCTGCGGTTTGCTAGCCTGAGTGCATCCTCCTACTCCATTGGGGTCGTCTACACAGGAGCTGGTGGCCTGATCGCTCTTTCTGCCCGTTCTGTTGAAAACTGGATCCGTCTGAGGTGCATCTCGAACGAGCCCCTCAGCCTCGAACTCGTTCTGTATGTTTGCCGCGACTGGAGCAAACCCAGCATTAAACACGTCCGTGGCCACAATGGTTCCTGGTTTACTGCCTACAGGCGGCCTTTTGTACCCTCGGGCCTCTCTGAAGTTCCAGACCCCGTGACTCTGACTGTCAGCGATATGCTGGCGGGCCTGTTTCTGACTTACGCGGTGATCCAGGCGACCTGCGAGGCAAGGTTGGCAATGGCATACTGTCGTTCTGGGCGCAGCGCTTGCGAACCTATGAGGTCCAAAAAATCCGCACCCTCTCATTGCAATGCTATCACCTGCTAGCGGACTGGGGAATTAAATGCACTTTCAAATATGTGAAATCACAAATCATGACACATTTGCCGCGCTCTGTGCTGCAAGGCTAGTGAGCATGCATTGGGTGGCATGGTCTGTGCCCATGTCTGATCGCCATCCGAACTCAACACCATTGACGCAAGGTTCGTTACGTGACTCCCGAGTTATTTGTGCTACAGTTTGCCAAAGTAGGAAGCGCAGGTGGTGTTCCTATTTGCTCCCGCTTTGGTGGGGTATCCTTCTTCCTTTGGGCAAGGCACCAAAAACCTTACGCTTGACACTTGCACAACGCATTTGTTTTCGCAAAGCCGGAATGCAATATCCAGGCCGCTGGTCACGGGGCAACTCTGTAAATCTCCGCAGTGGGCCCGTCATGCCCTGACGCCCTGCCAGAACTCGACTTGTGTATGCCTAATTGAATGTCCGTCCTCGTGGGCAAACTGAAGAGCGATCTTTCCTGGTGCGAAGAGAGGGTGCTTTTTGAATTGTGCATGTCTCTCACTCGCTAACGGTTACTAACCACTGCCATCTCAACAACTCCGGAAAATTCTGGTAAGTCCTGCGAAATCTGCTCTGGGAGGGTGAGGGTTTCACCACTGGGTCCAAGACGCAGAGAGACGCGGAAGCCTGCTTAGGCTTCTTCCCCAGCATCCAGGGGTGTATGAACGTCGTTCCAGCATTTACGTTACATCTTGGCATCTATGGACACAACTACCCTCGGACCCCTGTGTCCCCCCAAACAAAAAGTCATGCCCTGACCAAGACATACCTTCAAACTTCTCTCAAACATTGCCAGTCATTGCCTACATGCAGGCATCATCTCAAAGCGTCAATTCTCCAGCACATGGAATCGTTAATAGCTTCACTGAAACTGCTGTTGACCTGCTCCTCCTCCTCCTCCTTTTACTCCTCCTCCTGCTCCTCCGCCCCCGCTCTTCCTCTTAATCCTCCTCCTCCTGCTCTTCTTCCTCATCATCATCATCAGCATCAGCATCAGCATCAGCATCAGCATCATCATCATCATCATCATCATCATCACCATCACCATCACCACCACCCCAATCACCATGATCCCCATCATCTCCATCAGCCTCATCAGCCGTATCGTCACCATGGTCATCGTCAGAATCATCACCATCATCAGCAACAACAACCCCATCCTCACCCGCATCCTGATTTACACCACCATAATCGTCATCAGCACCATCATCACCATCAGAATCCTCATACTTATAGCATCATCATCTAACTCCTCCTGCTCCTCCACATGCACCTACTCCTGATCGTCATCATCAACGACAGCAACAACAGTATCATCATCGCCCTCATCATCATCGTGATCATCAGCAGCAGCATCACCGCCACCACCGACACAACCAACATCACCACCTCAGTCAGCATCATCATCATCAGTATATCTCCTCTGTCCCCTCTACTATATCTAAGCACAAACAATATATAAAAATATATGTATATCGCTATCTCTCTCTCTCTCTCTCTCCCTCCCGCTCTCGCTTGCTGTATGTCGATATCTCTCTCGCTCCCTCTCTCGCGCGTGCTCTCGTTTTTTCTCTCTCTCTCTCTCTCTCTCCCTCCGCCCCGTCATCATCATCATCATCATCATCATCATCATCATCATCATCATCATCATCGACATCATCATCAGCAGCAGCATCATCAGCATAATCATCAGCATCATCATCATCAGCATCATCATCAGTATCCTCATCATCATTATCATCATCATCCACCTCGACATCATCATAAGTCCCTGATAATCGCCTCATCCTCCTCACCCTTCGCATACGTGCGTCCTTCGGTCCTCTGTGTCCTCCTCTCGCTCCTCATTCCCATTTTCAGCATCCTCGTCCTACTACGCGGTATCATGCTCATCTTCCCCCCTCTCCTCGTCCTGGACAGTCGGGCTATGTTCACTCTGACGACCCCACGGCTAACACTTGCATGACTGCTGCGTCCGTGACTGGCTGAAGCGAGCCGAACCTCCACCTCCACTCCTCCTCTCAACTCTCCCCCTCCTCATGCGTCGCTATCCTCCTCCT